AGTTCATATACCATTAAGGTTGCCTTATAACCTTAGTTTTTACCATTTTTAGCATCTGCCACTGTCACAATTTCATTATCATATTATCATAAAAAGAAAGTTATTCCCCATTTGCCACTACCCAGGCCAGCCACCAAGCCTTATTAGCTTTGTCTGTCAAATACCACGTAAATGAGATCATACAGGATGTACCCTAGTGACTGGTTTTTCACAAGTATGTTTTCAGGGATTATCCATGCCATAGAATTTTTTTTGGGGGGGTCCGGTCGTGGGGCCTGAACTCTGTGCCTGGGCGCTGTCCCTTAGCTCTTCAGCTCAAGGCTAGCGCTCTACCACCTGAGCCACAGTGCCACTCCCGGTTTTGTTTTTCTTTTTGCTTATGTGGTGCTGGGGAATCGAACCCAGGGCCTCATGCATGCAAGGCAAGCGCTCTACAACTGAGCCACTTTCCCAGCCCAGCCAGAGAATCTTAATACTTCCTTTTCATTGCCAATTTCTATTCCATAATCTTGTCACATTAATATTTGCAGTTTTTACTTTTTCCATATTCTATGTAATGCTATATTTATATTTTTGTAAATACATTTTCAATTTTCTTGAGTTTATACCAAGTAAAACTTCAGGGTCACATGCTAATTCCCATGTTTTGCCAGGAACAAATTGTTTTCCCAAGCAGCTGCATCAGATTACAATCCTACCAACAATTATAATTTTTTAACCACATCCTCAGTTTCTACTGTCCATCTTTTCTTCCTTTTTTGGGGGGGGGGGGGGGGGGAACTGCTGGAGGTCAAACCTAGGACACCAAGTATGCAAGGCAGGCACTCTACCCTGACTTATATGCTCAGCTATTGCCCATCTTCATGATTAAAGCAGTCTCAGAGGTCAAGATATATCATCATTTTTATTTGCATTTCCCTAATGACTAACAGTACTGAACATCTTTTCACATACTTTGGTCATTTGTGTATTTTAGTGTCTATTCAAATATTTTGCGTAATTGTAAATTGAGCTGTCCTTTTTTTTTTTTTTTTTGTCGGTCGTGGGGCTTGAACTCTGGGCCTGGGCGCTGTCCCTCAGCTCTTCAGCTCAAGGCGAGCGCTCTACCACTTGAGCTACAGAGCCACTTCCGGTTTTTTGGTGGTTTATTGGAGATAGGAGTCTCACGGTCTTTCCTGCCTGGGCTGGCTTTGAACCGCGATCCTCAGATCTCAGCCTCCTGAGTAGCTAGGATTACAGGCGTGAGCCACCAGTGCCCGGCTGAGCTGTCCTTTTACTAAGATTTAATAGCTCTTTAATATATTCTAAATTCAACATTGTGTTTTATGTCTGTTGACAAGCTGGGTTACTTAGGAGGCTGAGACCTAAGAAGCTAACAATTCAAAGTCAGCCTGTGCAGAAGAGTCAGAGACTCCATCTCGAAAATAATCAGCAATATGCAGGGCTGGAGGCATGGCTTAAGTGACAAAGCACCCAAGTGAGCAAGGCAGGCAAACAAATCAGGGACCCAGTACAAGCAATCAATCTAGTTGACCTAATTATACTTCTTTAACTGCTTTCTCAAATCAATTCCAAGAGGTTTAAGGATCCTCAAGTTTAGACTAAAGACGTATGATGTAACCTATGGACTTTCTTGAATTCTGATGAACTTCAGGGTAAGTGTATACTGACTAGTTACTAACACTAAGAAATTGTATTTACATAGAAAAACAGAATTATGGTTATATTTAAAAATCATTATAATACTTACAAATTAAATGATCTGTTGAGACTTGCTTCAAAATAAGGTCCAAAAGAGCGATGGCATATAGAGAAGACCGGCCATGCGAAGCATGCTGATATTGGTTCATTATACTGTCCAAAAAATTTTTTTTGTCAGTTATGGGGCTTGAACCCTGGGCCTGGGTGCTATTCCTCAGCTCTTCAGCTCAAGGCAAGCACTCTACCACTTGAGCCACAGTGCCACTTCCTATTAAATTTTTTTAAACCACCCCACTGTATGAATACATGTAATTAGTTTTTTTGTTTTGTTGTCAATTGTGGGGCTTGAACTTGGCCAGGGCACTGTTCCTATGCTCTCTGTACTAAAAGCTAGTGCTCTACCACTTGTCACAGCACCACTTCTGGCTTTTCCCATGATTAACTGGAGATCAGTCTCACAGGGACTTTTCTGCCCAGGCTGGCTTCAAACTGCAATCCTCAGATCGCAGCTTCCTTAGTAGCTAGGATCAAGGTGTGAACCACCAGTACCCAGCTTTTTATAATGGTTTTTAAGCAAGCACTGAAGGTTGTTTGGGCCATACCTGTATAAGAATATTGATAGCTACAAGTGAATAACCTTTTTAAGGATACTCCATTCCCAAAGTTATCTCAGAAGTGGAAGATGTGGAAAACAGGGAGATTGTAATCGTCAGTGCAGTGTTAATGACCCCAGCCACTGACTAAGTGGACAGCTGTAAAACACACAGTAGTGTACAGTAGTGGTCAGAGCACCAGCCACCAGCAACACTCCAAACTTTACATCTCCTCCAAGACCACTGAGGGTCCTTGGAATAACTACCTAATAAAAATACCACCTTGAAGGAAGTAGGTGTCCATATACTTTACCTTAAGTTACAGCAATCCCCATCTGAAACTCACCCAAATTGTACATCCCTCATGTATATAGGTTAAGACAGCATGGTATAAACTGGTATAGCAGGTCACCAGAAGAGAAGTAATAAAATCCTGTCCCAGGCGTGAGAAAAAACCGTTCTGTGCTATAGTAGAAATGTGTCTAAATGGTACAGCAATTTTGGAAACGTTTTTAAAAAAATTAAATTTGCTACACAACCCAATAATTCTGTACTGGCAATATGTGCAAGAGATAAAGTATCTTCACAGACATGTACGTGAACATTGATGCTGTCATTGTTCATAATGGAATGAAGCGATAATGGAACACAGTGGTATTACCTAGATAAAACGTAACACAGCAGGGAACAACGTGGAACACTACAAATTGTGTGGTGGAATTTATTACTACTCAGGTGGAATTTATAGTTAAGATTTATGCAGAAAGACTTACCAGTTGAGTGCCCGAGGCTGGGCAAAGGAGCAAAAGTGAACTGTGGAAAATGTACTCATTACCTGATGAACTGTAACCCCTCTGTACATCACCTTTGCAACAATTAATTTTTTTAAAAAGTGAAGGGGCTGGGAAGGTGGCTCAGTGGTAGAGCGGTTGCCTTGCATGCATGAGGCCCTGGGTTCAATTCCCCAGCACCACATAAGCAAAAAGAAGAAAAAGGCCGGAAGTGGCGCTGTGGCTCAACTGGTAGAGCGCTAGCCTTGAGCTGAAGTGCTGAGGGATAATGCCCAGATTCAGAGTTCAGGCCCCATGACCGGACCCAAAAAAAAAAAAAAAAGTGAACTGCAGAGAAATAAAGGGAACTTATCTTGTCTGATGAAAGTGTTCTAAAACTGGATGATTTAAAAAAATATTCTATGAATTTGCTAAAACTTGAAATGCACATTGCTAGTAGCTGAATTTTAGGGTGCATAGATTATACTTAAAAGGAGCTGGGGTCGGTGCTGAGGACTGAACCCAGGGACTTGTTTAACCTAACACAAGCTCCACCACTGAGCTACACCCCCAGCACCAAAGCTGTGTTTTGGTGGTTGTTTTAATATTGTAATGAAGTCTTAGGAATTGCCAGGCACTAGTGGTTCATGTCTGCAATCCTAGCTACTGGAATGCTAAGATCTGAGGATCATGATTTGAAGCCAGCAAGAAAGTCTGTGACAGTCATATCTCCAATAAACTTCTCAGAAAAAGCCAGAAGTGGCATTTTGGCTCAAGTGGAGAACTAGACTTGAGCAAAGAGCAGCTCAGGGAAGGTACCCAGGTCCTGAGTGCAAGTACCAGGACCTATACCAACACCTCCCCCGCTACCCCCCCCCAAAATCTTAGGAATAAAAGCCCGTTCATTCCTATTATTTCAATACTAAAGTAGAACAACACTAGTGGGGCTGACAGCATTAGCATTTTCTTGGAAACTAAACATGCTATCTCTGTGAAAGCTTCTAAAATAAATCTGCGCTGAACCACTGTGACATTAGTACTGCCTCTTGGTCATCTGATTGTTTATGCCCTAAAACATTTTTGTTGTAAACCTCATTTACTATTCCCAAATTTACCACTAGACGCAGTGTCTTCTCAGAATACTTCATAATGTGAAATAAAACTTTTAATATTAATCTTTAACATGGATTTAATATATACTTAATATAAAGGTATTTACTCTTTCCTTCCTTCTCCCTTTACTTGCTCATTAGACCACTCACATAATGCTCTAGATGTTTCAAACATTCCACTGTTTCAAATTATGACTTATTTTCACTGCTTAGGTTCAAAATTCTTCTCTTCTTTAGATTGTTCTTTTCAAAGCTAGTTTTAATATCAGTATCATATTTCTAGTACACTGATTTTCCAGAGAGGTGATGTTCCCTCAGCCATTACCTACTTTTTTTCCCTTAATTATTAAAAAAAATCAAGCCCACTGCCAGTGCCTTACACTTGTAATCCTGGCTACTTAGGGAGGCTGAGATCAAACACAGCGTAAGCAGGAAAGTCCATGACACTATCTCCAATTAACCAAAAACCCAGAAGTGGAACTGTGGCTCAAGTGGTAGAGCACAAGCACTGAGCACAAAAGTTCAGGGGCAGTGCCCAGGCCCCAAATTCAAGTCTCAGGACTGGCACAAAAAATAGAAAATAAAAATAACAGCCAGGGACTGGTGGCTTACATTTCTAATTCCAGCTACTCAAGAGGCTGAGATCTGAAGACTGGTTTGAAGAGTCCTCTTATCCCCAATTAACCACCAAAAAGATGGAAGTGAAGCTGTAGCCTAAGTGGTAGAACACAAAAAGCTCAGGGACAGCATCCAGGTCCTGAGTTCAAGCCCCAGGACTGGAACAACAAAACAAAAACAAACAAAAAAACAACAACCAAGTTGAGCACTGTGGTACACACCTATAATCTCAGCACACAGGAGGTACAAGGTAGGCAGATCACAAGCCTGTCATCAGAGATACATAGCAAAATACATCATTGCCTGCCCACCCTACACCCCCAAAGAACCAAACGAAAACCAAAACAACCCAAATCAAGTTTTATACGAAACACTACTAACCTACAATAGATAAAATAAGCAATACTTGTAAGAGAATAAATCTTTTAGATACACATAAATTAAAAATATTTTCAAATTTCTATTTAAAAAGGAGTAACTACAAAATGATTCCCTTTAATTTTCATTTAAAACTCCACAGATATACCTTTTTAGAAATCCCATTTGCTACAAATGCTGTGCACCTTTTATCATAATTTCCTTATGACAATTTTTTTAGAAAAGAAAAAATGAATGAAACAAGTCAAAAGCCACATTAACTTTCCACTGAGAGTAATAAAAAATTGTCACATAAATGAGTTGGTCACAGGCAGTACAAAAAAAACACTTGTTTTTATAAGTTTAAAGAATATTTCTGCCTCCAAAATCAGGTATAAAAATAAAGCACATATTCAACCAAAAAAGCAAAAGGTAAGGATAACCCTGGAAAAAGACATTGGTACTATCAGGAATTCTCACAATTAACTAAAAAACTTTTCCCCCCTTTGACCCTAAGAATCAAAGGTAAAAGTGTCAGGGCAAATGCCCTTAACTACCTACCTATGAAATAAAAATTACTGCTATGTTTGCAAAAATGGAGGCAATAAAGAGTTCAGAAATATACTCAAGTTTATAATCAATTAAATGATGAGCTATAATTTGAACCCTATTTGTCACATTATATAGAAATCACAATTCACGTTTTGTGTCCTCTTAAGATATGTTAAATAATTCACATTTGAAAACATTACATTATCAAATTTGATAAAATTTTATCAAAACATCTAAGTATTCAATATAAATCGTATTATTAAAAGTATAAGGTAACATTTAAAGAAAACTGTTGAGGTGCCAAGGTAGTTCCTATTAAGTATACACAGTTCAACATTTATAACTACATAAATTAATTCTTGTTAAGTGTTGATTCAATTTTACAAAGGCATACTTTGTGAACCATAATGAATTTCCCCAGCACCACTGTCCTTTTTTATCCTAAAATGTTGTCTAATGTTCTTCTGTCATTCATATGTAAAAATTACAAGTTTACAATCTGTGATCTTAATAGTAACATGTATAAGAATCTAAGTAGAGTGTACATTAAACTAGCTATAACTACTCAAATTTGATTATCATAAAATAAAAAATAAATAACACTTCACTTAAATCTTTGAGGAAAATAGTATACCTTCCATAAATAAGAATTCTCCAGAAAAGATATTTAAAATATTTCCCATGTTTGTTAATTTACTTTGTCTTTTTAAAAGTCTAATAAGGACATATACTTACAATGCCATATTACACAACTACAGTGGTGTTAATTAAGTAAAGCAGCCCAGTATAGTTGTAAACATTTCAAATGTAGTAAACAGGATTTGGCAGATCTTTTCTCCCCAAAATCTTACAAAACTCTTTCCATGAGTACTTAATTCTTCCTGGGAAAGTTTTCAGGTATGCTTTAGTTTTTATAAAACTAATACACTGAAATAATATGTAAAAGATCATGGCAATTTTACTGAAGCTTTTATTGCCTCTGTTGGTAATATGACAGGGATCTTAAGAAACACAGTTGAACTTACAGATATATGCAGGTGATATTCACTAAAGATAACCTTGATCTCAAATATTTTTATATGTGGGTACTTCTAATTTTATACATTTTACTATTTAAAAAGCATTACATTTTAAAATGGGTACTTGTTCTGACATTTGGCAAAAAAGGAAACTGTACCTGTGGTTCAGTTTGAAACAGAGATCAGCATGGGAAGTTGACCAGAATGAAGACTGAAATGCTTGCGAATTAAAGCATTCAAGTCGAGTGTGTGTCTTTCTCTTAGACGCGCACACATGCGCGCATGCACGCACACGCACACACACACACACACACACACAGAATCATATGTGTAAGCTTTTTTCAGTACAAAACATTATCCATAACCATTTATCCTCAGAATAATCACACCATATTAAATCAGTTTTCTCTTTTCAGCCCTAGTAATAGTTTTAATTCTAAGATGCCATCATAGTGAACAACCTTAACTTTTATGCTACATAATTATATTCAAAGCTTTATGTATTTTTGTTTATAATTACACAGTAATTATAAATGTTTAGTACCATACTGATGACAAACACTATTTTGTTGAAAAGGTCTTGCATTTAAAAGGAAATATTTGTAAAACTCAAGGCACTAGGCCACACAACCAATATCCAATTTTTATGGAAAAAAATTATATTGTCGAAAAAAAGTTAATGAAATCTCATTTCAAAACACAGCATACTTGAATAATCTGAAAACAATATCATAATTCAAAATCTTCAAGACAGGAAACAATACAGTAAAATATCTCTTGAATTTTTTTTCATAATTGAAGTTCTTCTTCATAGTTACAATGAAATCAAGAAAACAGCAGGATTCTTCTTTTTTGCTTTTTCTAATAATTCCTTTCACCAAATAAAATTTTCAAATTTTTCTCTTGGTAGAACTGTATCCTTGAAGTTATAACTGGAATATTAACATAATATCTAGGCGGATGAGACTTCTAATCAATTTCAAATCAGTAAATCCAAGTTTTAGTATGTCACTGTTTCTTAAACACATATTCTTGTATAAAATGCACTGCTACTCTGAAGTACATCTTTTGTTAATATCAATACTAGACTGTCAGTACCAAGATACACCAAGGAAAATCTTTTTCTACTATAATGGCCATGGTCATCTAAAATTTAAGCTCATCATCTTTAACTTGCCTTATCAAAACATTTAAGAAAGTAATTAAAGCCTTCACATGTAGGTAAACACAAATGGGTGTTTTCAGCAGGAAAGCAGTGCATGGGCCTTGTAACGAGCAAAATAAATACAAGAGAGCATACTGCTTTAATGTGAAAACTGAGCTAATTTGAAAGAAACAAAAAAAAAGTTTAAATAATTTACAAAAATAAAAGCCAGATTGGTATTCTGCATAAAGTATATGGATGGTTGAAAATCTTTGCTCTTGAAGTTTTTAAATATTTGGCAACCACAGTGATTTAGAAGTTAAAGCAATTTCAACAAAATAACAAGTCATCAAAAATGGACTACTTGTCTGAAAGAGCAGTACCTATATTATAAAGATTGAACTTCATGGCTCATCACAACCATTTCCAAAATTTAATTCCTACTATCTTCTTATAAATTAAGAGAATTTCATTTGTATTCCATAGTGCGATGACCAAAAAGAAGGAAAAAGCAAAAAATAAACCCTCATGCCTAAATTTAGAACATTGTATTGTGGAGCAATCCAAAACATTCAAAACAAATTAAATAGTTTAACGTATCTGGTATGCATATAGTATTTCAAAAGCATAATGAAATCCAATTACATAATGCATAATGTAGACCAGAGTGTGATCTAGCATTATGCAGATGTTTTCTAAATAAAAGCTCCCTGTAGGACCACCTAGGTAAAGGTAAGTGCAGACCAGTTCTGTGGAACCTTTTCGGAATCAAGAGTCTAAAACACAATACATCTTTTGGATAGGCACCAAGTATCCTAAAAAATTTTCTCGTTTTGACATTTCTTTCATCAGATATTCTACTCATATCAATGATACATGTGATTTGCCAGGAAAAAATTAAATCCCCCCCCCAAACAAAAACACCATTCCAGATTCAGTACACTTAAATATATCACTCTCACTGGAAGTGCTATCAGCATAGTCTTTGCAACTAGCCCAAAGCATATATTTAAGAAGTTTTTATAAATTGTTTGTGATGTTCATTATGTTTAATTCTTATGCCAAACTTTTCTGATGAAGACAGCATTGTGCTTTATGCAAGAATGAAAACCTCAAAATAATCACCATAAAGCTTCTAAGACTTATGGGAAAACAAACTAGGATGGTCCACAGATATAAGATGAAATCCACAATGTTGGAATTATAAATGTTTAGAGCGGCCCAGACTAGAAGACAAGCCCAAACCACCATTAGGAGAATGAAATACGATATGGTCCAAGATGTATCCTTAAAGATTTGTCTCAACCCTCAGTTTGAATATGAGGATTGATCTTCAGTTCAGTCCAGCCAGCAGAAATTGACTGTGCAATTTTCCGTTGTATTTATTGTACAGACTATGTACATTCTAGAAGGTTCCTTTAGTGCTACACTGTTGTACTTTTTGTCCCAGCAATTTGAGGGCGTGCAAATTCCACAAAGTCATCAATAAGAACAGGCCATGCTCCTGGAACAAAGAAAAAAATGTGGGAAAAATGGAAGAAAAAAAGTAGAGATAGGGCTAGTCTTTTAATAGAGTCGTTTGGGGCTTTTACAAATTCCTTCCTCAGATATCATTCTTTTTTCTTTTTCTTTTTTTGGCCATTCCTAGGGCTTGAACTCTGGGCCTGGACACTGGCCCTGAGCTCCTTTTGCTCAAGGTTAGCACTCTTCCACTTGAGACATGGCTCCACTTCAAGTCCTTTCTGTGATTAATTAGCCAGCCAGGACTAGCTTTGAACCATGATTCTTAGATCTCAGCCTCCTGAGTAATAGGATTATAGCAGGCATGAGCCACCAGTGCCTAGTTTTTTCAGATATCATTCTTACCTATTCCCAATGAGAAGTCTTTCAAAACTCAGTATTGATAGTTTCTACACCAAATATGTTATGTATTCATATTACTTGAATGATGAAAATAACTCCTGGTAATCAATCAATACAGTACTATAGTTTTCTAAAAGTAACCAATGACAGGCAATGGAAATATGATTTGGTCAAAACTGGCAGAAGGGCTACAGGCATGGCTCATATAGTAAAGCACCTATCTAGCAAGCACTAGACCTAGAGTTCAAATCTCAGTAGTGCCAAATAATATAAACTGGTAGCCTAAGGGACAACCAAGACATGATGGCACACTGCCACTGTTGCAGGAAGAAACAAGCTGCTCTTACAAATGATAGTGTCAAACTCTATCCTACTTCATGACAATTACTAAAAGATTTTAAAGTGAGTCTGTATATACATGTCTGTATATACCTACATGCCTATCCCCAAACCTCTATTACACAAGCTAGGAAGTTTTCTAGCTTTATATAAAAACCTAACAGAGGGCTTGGGAGTATGCTCAATCAATAAAGCATTTGGCTAATGGGCATGAGGCCCTCAATTCAAACCCTAATACTGCCCAATAACAAGTAAACCCTCTATCCTAACAGAAAATACAATTATTAGTCACAGGAAGGATTCAACATTTTTGTCACATTTTAGTAAAGACTATATATACACAACAATGAAGAAGGGAAGAAGAACTATCATCTCTGGCCAGCCCAAATGGTTCTAGGAATGAAGCCCATAAAGATTTTTCAGAGAATATTTCCATATTTAATAATCTCAAAAAGTCATCCTGTCAGTTCTCCAAGGGACTACAGAGGAAGTCGATATAAATCACCGCAACTTCAAGAGCCACAAAAGTGCATGTGCTGGTAGTAATGGGTGGAGAATCGTTTTTGTGCATATATGAAGAAACAGAAGTATTTAGTTGATGATTTACTGAATGTCAATGGTATCATACCAGGCAGCAGAAATGCCATTTCAAATTAGACAGTCAGTGGACTTACATACAATTATTTGTGCTTTAATGAAACAATACTGCCTGGAGTCTTCCCCCCTCCAGTGCTAAGAATGAAAACCAGGGTGTTGTCATGCTAGATAAGCACCCTACTTCTAAGCAACATGTACCCCATAGGACGGAACTGAAAGGAAGTAATAGAAATATATTGCTAACAATAAAGGTATTTTATAAATCCTGAAGAGTATAGAGGCATGTAGTTAGCATGCATAAGGTTCCGTGTTTAAGCCCAATATTTCCCCAAAAGAGAGAAAAAGAGTAAGAAACTAACAAGTAACACAAATAAAAGTTAAGGAGAAGAAAGTATAACTCCAGAGCTGGGAAGGTGGCTCAGTGGTAGAGTGCTTCTCTCGCATGCATAAGGCCCTGGGTTTGATTCTTCAGCCCCACATAAGCAGAAAAAAGCCAGAAGTGGCACTGTGGCTCTAATGGTAGAGCGCTAGCCTTGAACTGAAGAGCTGGGGGACGGCACCCAGGCCTAGAGTTCAGGCCCCATGACCAACAACAACAACAAAAAGTACAACCTCAAAGAAAACAGAAGTAGATAGAAAATTCAAGAGTGTGGAATAAAAGATATAGGAAGGCAGGTTATAAAAAAAAAATGGTAGGGAAAAAAATTTCATTACCTTCTTCATCATAATTAGACATGTCATCGGCAATCATTGTACTGAAGTCTAAAAGAAGATTCCAAGTATCTTTTGGTATTGATCGTTTATGATGTTCCTATTTAAGAAATAAGAACACATTTAAATAACCTAAAACAACTGCAAAAAATACAGACCAGACAATGCTAAATACAAGAATGCAAACAACTGATTGGAATTCTAATAATCAAATTTCTCATTGTATATCAGATGTTCTGATAGTTTATCATGCTTGAAAATGTTGTTTTATCTTTAAACACAACGTATGAAACTAAAGAAAAGGTGAACTTACCAACAAAAATTTATTCCATAAGTCTAAGAATTTAAATCTTCCATTAAGCACTAAGTTCCAGTATGCAATGGCCATTTCTAGATCTGCAATATTAAAAATACTTTATATACTTCAATGTTTATAAACATTTGTTCTCCAAAGACCAAAGAAAGTGTTAAAATAATTTTGCATCCTAAATATTTACCTATTAAAATTTTCCTACAAGTCCAAGGTTTGTATCCTACTTCTTCACCAATGAACTTCAAGGCCTTGAGGATAAAAATTATATCACTTACCTCATAGAGGTGTCCCAAGATGTAAGTCAGATAATGTAGTTAAGCCTAATTAAGCTGATAAGTATTCAAATGTTGTTACACATTAACATTAAGTGTCACAAACTAGGCACTTCAAACACTTTCAGCAACTCCTGATATTGGCCAAAAGCAAATGAACTGGGAGAAATTTGTTCCTAGATGAGAATTAATTTGTACATTTGGAATGCAAAGGACTGCTCCCCAAAATCTGAAAAACGTTATACTCCAAGATTTTTACTAACTACAAAGAAAGCTTAAGTATATTGATTTTAAAATGCATAAGAGTGGGCACTGGTGGCTCCCATCTGTAATCCTACTCAGGAGGCTGAGATCTGATGATAGAGGTTTCCAGCAGGAAAGTCTGAGGCTCTAATCTCAAATAACTACCAAAAAGCCAGAAGTGAGTTGTGAGTCAAGTGGTAGATCTAACACCAGCCTTTAGCAAAAAAATCTCAGTGGCAACACTCAGCCCCCTAAGTTCAAGTCCCATTTCTGGCACCAAAAAAAATGAAAATAACGACAACAACTAAAAACCTGGAAGGCCCTGGGTTCGTTCAATTCTCTAGCAGTAAAAAATAATTTTTTTAAACATCAAAATTAACCACAATTTAAGGCTTTCTTCAAAGTTTGCCAAAAACAAGCAGGCAAGGGGCCAAAAGGGGTAAAGAAGCAATACTGTCAATATGACAAAGACTATACTTGTCATCTGAGAGGATGAATTATTATCCTTCTCAAGAACTAAAGTACTTAAGAAAGTTGTCTTTTATGAGTGAATTTGCATCACCAAGATAAAAAGAATTATAACTCAAGAAACCAAATAAATTCTACCTATTCAGGTGTGATCTCAGAACCAGTTTTGATAGTTAGAGGAAGCATGAGAGATTAGGAAAGACCACGTTGGGCAAATGCTGCTCCGATTTTTAAAAAGTAAAAAATTTGGTGTTTATTCACTGATAAAAACCTATGACTTAGCTGGGCACCAGTGGCTCACACCTGTAATCCTAGCTACTCAAGAGGCTGAGATCGGAGGATTGCAGCTCAAAGCCAGCCTGGGCAGGAAAGTCCATGAGACTCTTATCTCCAATGAACCACTCAGAAAACTGGAAGTAGCACTGTGGATCAAGCAGTAGGCACTAGCCTTGAGCTGAAGAACTAAGAGACAGAGCCCGGGCCCAGAGTTCAAGCCCCACGACTAACAAACAACAACAACACCAACAACATAAAACCTCTGACTTATAAGAAATCAATTAAAAGATCATAAAGGAAAGAAACCTGAAAAAGCTCATTATGAATAAATTGTATTAAATCAATCTCATTTTCTGAGGATTAATAGATGGGTAGAAAGTGTTCAAGAACTCTGTCTTTATAACGAAATGGAAAGACCTCTAGAAAATTATGTTAAGTGAAGTCAGGCTGGCGTTGAGACAAAGAACACATAAGTTTTCCCTTGTATGCAGAAGCTAGATTTAGCTTATGAACTTGTAAATAAATACCATGGGTGGTATGCAAGTGTATTAACTGAAATATGAACTGATGATAAAAGAAATTTTTCTATCATATAAAAAGAACTTGAAACTAGAATAAGCAGACATTAACTGATTATATGACCATTTCTCCAAGTGTTAAGAGAAAAAGGCCAAACTTAAGGAAAATCTCTCCAGGAACATTACTATTCTGTTAATAATCCTTTCTCCACTCAAGAATCTCATCATTGGCTTACATGAAGATAAGGTAAAGTGTGATTATTACATGTATAGAAAACACAAATGTGGATGGATGTTCAATACAATGGTGTAGTAACACAATAAACCAGTCTCACCATCTTGGTTAGTCTCCCTCCTGGTGGACCCAATACTACAAAAACTCAAGTAAGAAGGTAGTAAACAACAGATCCATTTAAATTTTGAGGCCAACTAATTTCTCTGTCATTCCTATTATACAAAATTCAGATCTCTCTAGTTATGTGTCTTTTGTACTATTCTAATTCCGGATCTGTGATTCCCCCACTTCCTATCCATCCTCCTCAACTGATCCTACTGTGTCCTAGGATGATGTCCACTACACCAGAGCTAATCTCCCTGCATCTTGAGCTTTTTCAGAAAATGTTTCCTCAATCCTTTGTGCTATTCTGAAGTTTGGCCCTACCTTCAAGTGGAAGTTCCCAGTTATCCCTCCCAAAGGAGTTTGGTCACTTTCGTAGAAACTATTGACCACACACCAAATTTCATTCTTCTGCCTTCATGGAGACAAATTTAATACACAACATGTAGCAACACTTCTCCCCTCATCCCTATCATCTTGAAGCCTCTATTTAAATCCACGACTGATGTCCTTGGTAACTAGTTCACAGTCCTTCTTAATTTTATCTTCTGTCATCATTCAGTGTCATATAATCAGGTTATACCTGACCTCTTGTCTAAAAGATTCCACCAAAAGATTATTGGAATAGATAAACAGATTCAGTAAAGTTGCAGGATACAAAATTAACAATGCAAAAATCACCAGCATTTTGTTTGTTTTTGTAGGTTGTGGGGCTTGAACTCTGGGCTTGGGTGCTATCCCTCAGCTCTTTAGCTCAAGGCGAGCGCTCTACCGTTTGAGCCCTAGCATCACTTCTGGTTTTCTAGTGGTTTATTGGAAATAAGAGTCTCACGGACTTTCCTGCCTGGACTGGCTTTGAACCGTGATCCTCAGATCTCTGCCTCCTGAGTAGCTAGGATTACAGGCGTGAGCCACCGGCCCCAGCTCACCAGCATTTTTATACTATAAGAATTATGAACTTTTTGGGAAAAACATCATGAAAACAACCCAATCCACAATAGCCATAAAAGATATGAAATACTTGGGAATAAATCCAACCAAGGAAGTGAAAGACTTCTATAATAAAAATTTTCAAAGCACTAATGAAACTCACATACACACAAAAAAAATGTTAATTATAAAATTTTAAATGGGGCTGGGAAGGTGGCTCAGTGGTAGAGTGCTTGCATTGCATGCATGAGGCCCTCAGCACCACATAAGCAGAAAAACCCAAAAGTGGTGCTGTGGTAGAGTGCTAGCCTTGAGCTGAATAGCTCAGGGACAATGGCCAGGCCCAGAGTTCTGGCCCCATGACCAGCAAAAAAAAAAAAAAGTGGGGCTGGGAAGATGGCTCAGTGGTAGAGCGCTTGCCTTGCATGCCTGAGGCCCTGGGTTCAATTCCTCAGCACCACATAAGCAAAATGAAAAAAGCCGGAAGTGGCGCTGTAGCTCAAGTGGTAGAGCTCTAGCCTTGAGCTGAAGAGCTGAGGGACAGCGCCCAGGCCCAGAGTTCAGGGCCCACGACCGGACCCAAAAAAAAAAAAAGCAAAAACACAAACCCCAGGGCTGGGAAGGTGGCTCAGTGGTAGAGCACTTGCCTTGCATGCCTGAGGTCCTGGGTTCGATTCCTCAGCACCACATAAGCAAAAAAAGAAAAAAACAAACCCCAAAACACCATAGGAAACAAAAAGCAAAAATAGATAAATGGAACTGTATCATACTAAGAAGCTTTGTAGCAAAGCAAACAGAGTAGAGAGATAACCTACAGAGAGAAAAACATACACACACACATGCATACACATGTGTGCACAAACACACACACAAATGAAAAAATAATCTACCATATGACACCTCTGGGTGGTTATCCAATAAGCCCAAAGACACCTGCATGTTATATTTACTGTGACACTACTAAAAATAGCGAAGATACATAATCAATCCAAGTTCTCATCAATGGATAAACAGGTAAAGCAAATGTAGCACATACACACAATGGAATATTATTCAGACATAAAGGTAATAAGCAAATATTGTCATTTACAGCAAATAAAACTGGAGGGCATTTTAAGTGAAATAAGCCAGAAACAAAATAAGCCTGTGCAAGCTGATTTCTGATTTATGGAAGCCAAAAAGTCTAGTGGGAAGGGTAAAGGGTAAAGCTGCAGAACAGGTCCTAAAATACTTTTAGAAGGAATAAGGTCTAGTGTTGCACAACACAAAGACTATAGTGTATATTAACCCTTTTACAGTGAAAATTTTATATAATGAAAATCTAGAAGAGAGGAGAGCTCAAGTGTTCTGAAAGAATAAATGGCTGACTTCTGTAATGCTATCTACCCAGGAGGCTAAAATCTGAAGAATGTGGTTCAAAGATAGGTAGAAAAGTCTGCAACTCTACCTCCAAACAGCCAGCAGTAATTACCCTGATCGTGATGTATACACTATAGATATGTGTTGAAATACACTCTACTCTGTATTGTATAATTATATCAAGCTATTTTGTGTGTCTGTGTATATGAATCCTGGGGTTAAACTGAGGGTCTGGTGCTGTCCCTGAGCTTTTTTAGCTCAAGGCTAGAACTCTACCATTTGAGCCACAGCTCCATTTCTGGCTTTTCGGGAGTTAACTGTCGATAAAGAGTTTCATGGACTTTCCTGCCTGAGCCAGGTTTGAACCAAGATCCTCATATCTCAGCTTCCTGGGAAGATAGGCATGAGCCACTGCTTCCTGGCTATATTAATAAATTTTAAAAAATAGCCATCTCATATATACCCTAATCATGCCAGCTTGCTTGCTTTCTTCTGTTCCTACTTTATCTGTGCTTCAGTTGCACCCTGGCCCATTCCATTTCCACGATGTTTCATTTCAACAATACCCTTCCCATAATCCCTTATAACTTTCGCTTTGCCTCTCAGATTCAACAGCTCTGTACAATTCTAATCATAGATGAATACATCTTCAATTAATCCTGAGAGTGAGGGACACAGTT